GAGGGAGCCCCCAGCAGCTGCCCTGGATGCCAAGGGGGGAGGGGCAGCCCCACAGCCAGCCAGGACTTGGGGGTCACCCGCTCCCCCCAATCCGAAGGGAAGCCAGGAAAACCCTCAGCTGACAGTCCAGGCAGGATCTGCAGGGATCCCTCCTAATCCAGCCGGATCTTGTGAGATCCCAAGTGAGTGAGGGAGATCCCAAGGGCAGGAGTGGTCTTCCCCTCCAGGAAGGGTCCCAAGTGGAGTTTCCCCCCCCCCACCCAGAGCCCAGCCAAGAGCCCCCCGTCCCCCCTTCTCTTCCGGCCCAAGCCCAGAATTCAGGGAGGTCCCCCGTCTGAGCAGCGGCTCTTCCTCCGTCCGTCCCCCCCCCTCAATTCTCAGCCAAAGACCCTCAAGGCACTTTTTCCTCCCTGGAAATTTTGAGGGCGTTTTTGTCCTTAATTCCCTCCAACTTTTGTAGGTGTGTTTGTACAAAACGTCTTTTGAAGAGAAATATCGTCTCCAAATAAATGCAGCTTTTCCCTCCTTTCCAAATCTCTGCCGTGATTTGAAATAAACCTTTAAGCTCCATAAATCTCAGAAACATTTTATATTAGGAAGGAGCAGATTCTCCTTTCCTCCCTTTTGTTCCTTGCCAGGGAACTCAACGTTTTGCCTGCAGGGATCGTGAGAGAAAAGGGGATTTTAGGGGGAAAGGAATCAGTCCTGGGACTCCCAAGTCCTAAGAATCAGCCTCTGAGATGAATTTAGTTCTTCTGGAGGGGAGTTGGAGGAAACATTTTCCCAAAAGAAGGAGAAGAAAAACGTCCATATCCACGGATATGATGTGTCAGAGGATCTGAGCGGATTTTCTTCCTTGGAAAAGATTTCAATATTATTTAGGAAGGATGGATGGAAGGACAGTATATTAAACTGAAGAATAAATTTATAATTTATAAAATAGCCTGGAATTTTAATAGAAATCATGAGGACTTCAGGGATCCTATTTCCTCCACTATAGGATTACAGCCTTTTCACCATCACAGTCTGGAAATCTCTCCCCCCCCCCACAAACTATCCCAAAAGGAAACCTTCTGTTTCTTCTTCTCCTCTTTCACTTCATCCATAGAAAACATTTTTTTCTAGTCTTTGGGGGAGATTTGGGTTCCTGTGAGTTACGCAAAGGCGGCTTAGAGAGATCCTGAATTCCGGATCCTGTTTCAAGAGCTTTGGGGGTCCAGAGGTGGCCTGGGTCCTTTCCAGGGATGGGGGGGCTGGAGGGGTCAAACTCCCCCCTGGCCCAGCACCAGCCTCAGCAGCCCAGAGCCAGGTCCCCCCCAGCATCTGCCCCACAGTTGTGTATCTGACACAGCCACTCACACACAGTCAGCCCCAGATCCAGGCAGCCTCTGTGGGGCCTCCCTCCCTCACCTGACCCAGGCAGAACCTCTGGGCCCCTTTCATGCTTCCCCCCCCCAAATATTGTGCTCTTCTCCGAGTTCCCTCTGACATCCCCACCTACATACACACACACACACACACACAGACACCCAGAGCAGCCCTTCCTTCTCCAGCCCCCAAGAGCTGCAGAGGAATTTGGGCTTCGCTTCCCCAGCCTGAAGCTTTGGGCTCCTCCGAAGCGGAACTGAGGAACCGGCCAGGATCCAGCAGGCAACAAGCCTCCATTCTCCCTCAGGGACTCCCCTCCTCCTCCTCCTCCGCCCCATGGCTGAGTCTGCAGGTGGGGCAGCCACAAGGTCCTCTGCCCCATTGGAGGAGGCTGAAGGGGCCCTTCCCCACCACCTCATTATAGTTCTCTGGTCCTTTTCTCCCTCAGTTGAAGCCCATTGAAGAAAGGAGTCCCTGACTTATAACAGTTCATTTAGTGACCATTGGAAGTTAAAATGGCACTGAAAAAAGTGACTCTTTGCCTAATATTCCTTCTTTTTAAAATATTTTTTATTGCTTTGAACTTTGGGGTTGAGTGGCTTCCAATGTACACCCAAGGTTCTGTCCTTCTTTCCCCCCCTTTATCTCAACCCAAATGCATGGAAGGAGGTTTTCGTCTTTCTTCTGTTGCATTTCCAGAGTGGTTTGGATATTTCTTATACATAGTGCAACTCCGCCTCCTCTTTTATTGGGTCTGTTTCTTTGGAGCCCTTTAAATGTGAAGATATTAAATGGAATAGCTGGAAGAGGAAAATGCACAATGGTCCAGAACACCCCGTTGTGTCTGAGGGTGTGCAGGCTCCTGTATGAGGAGATCTGCGCTCTGATTGGTTGCTGTGGGTGGAAAGGGGGAGTTTCCCTTTTTTCCCCGCCTTTTTCTTCTCTGCACTGTTTGAGATTTACCTCAGGATGTTCCTGACTGTTTTCTCTGCTGTGAATGTTAAATACATTTATTGACATAAAACCAGTGGTGGGATTCAAATTTTTTAACAACTGGTTCTGTGGGTGTGGCTTATTTGGGGGTGTGGATTGGTGGTCATGTGACTGGGTGGGCGTGGGTAGCTGGTCATATGATCGGGTGGCCATGGCTATGTGCATAGGGACTACTTAGAGGGTTGAAGAATGTCATTTCTGACCGGTCCTCGCACTTTTGACTGGTTCTCGCACTTATGACCATCCTCACATTTATGCCCGTTGCAGCATTCTTAACAACCGTGTCACTCATTTCACCACTGCGGTGCTTCATGTGACCGGGTGGGTGTGACCAGGTGGTCATGTGACATCGCTTCTTTGCCCTAATGTGTTTGCTGCAACGGTCATAAGTGTGAAAAACGGTCGTAAGTCACTTTTTTCAGTGTCATTTTAACTGTTGTAAATCAAGGATTACCAGTACAAAAATACAAAAAGCCTCTTTGCTTGCAAAAAGCTGCCCTAAATACCAATCATTAGATTAGAAATACCTGGAAACTGGAGTTAAAAATCACGTTGAAGTCCACAAGCCTTAAAGCTGCCAAGTTTGAAGACCTCTGGTATAGATTGTTGTGCATTATGGCAAAGATGACAAAGTTCTCCGAGGAAAGGAGCGGAAAGTGGAGGAGAATTGGCCGAACTTGATTATGGGATCTTCATCTGGGGCTGGTTTGCAAGGAAAAGGGGAATCCCAACCCACAGAGAACCTCTGGAACCGGAAGTGACAGTAAGTCTAAGCATACTGCCAAAAATGTAATAAGGGTTAATGGAGAGGCAGTTTCTGGAAGCAGGGCACCAGAATGTTGTAATTCCTTACAGGATTAACCTTGTAAAGTGGAAAAAATAAAAGGAGATTTCTTCTAACAACAGGTTCTCTGAACTGCTTAACTACTTAACTACCAAACCGGTGTGAACCGGTAGAATCCCACCACTGCATAACACTACAAGTTTGTGTCCGTGTCTCCCACTTCCTTTGAACAGCTGCTGCGTGATTCCTCCGCATTAAATCTCTTTAGTTGCACCTTCCAGTCATCGATTTCATCCCACAGTTTCAGTGATTGCAACAATGTCACACCTGCCTTCTGGCTCCACCTTCACCCCATTTATTCCTCGTACTTTGAGAATTACAGGCATCTGAGTCCCTTTTGACTGACCCCAAATTCAGTTTCTACATCTCCTGTTTTGCCTCCGAGTTTCCCTTCTTTCTTTCAATTTGGCTGACTCTTATGAGATTTGAGTTTGGAATTTGCTTCTAAAACTTTGTCTCCCTCCCACTTCGGTCTCACTTTCAAGCCCTTCGGATGAGGAGAGCCGGTTGGTGTCCAAAGCCAACCTTCTGGGTTCTTGTGAGGGGCAGCTCATCCCCTGCCAGAAGCCCCCCATGTGGGTGTTGTGGACCATGGTCCAAGAATCCCAATTTCCCTCGAGAGAACCATCCCCTAAGCCAGAGTTGACTTCCAAGGTGCTGCCTTCCCTCCTTGGATGGTTCCCTTTATTGGGAGAGTGGAAGAGAAATCCCCCTGTGCCCCCAACTCTTTGGCTCCCTTGCCCACCTGCTCCGAGTCTCTTGGCATCGTTTCCAGGGACTTTTTCATTCCTCCCAGCATGAAAGAGGAAAAAGGGATCATACTCTGTGGGCTTCATTATTTCTGTAAGCCCCTCAGTCACGTCTTTGATAGCTGCTCCTGGGAGACAACCAACCCCCTTAGTTTGATTGTCCGTCTTAGAAACGGCAGTTTCAGTTCCCCTAAACAATGAATCAACACAAGACTTTCTTTTCTTCTTAAGGAGGTCCGGTCTAATTTTTCCCCTCTGCCATTGGTACATTTGGTGTTGTCCCTTCTCCAGGTTCTTGCACACTGTCTTGCAAGGGGAGGCATTGCTCAAAGGAGCCCAAATCTTCTCAGGCAATTTCAGACAATTCCTACAATCACACTCCGACCTATTTTTCCTGTGGTGGCCCCAAGACCCCAGATGAGGAAGGGGAGGGGGAAATTCTGCCTCGGTGATGGAGGCCACTGGAGTCCTGCAGAGTCAGTCTGGATGACCTCTGGAGAGGGCGAGGCTCAGTTGGAGGGCTGTCTAGGGGCATCTGGGGGTGATGGGGAGAAGGGAGGGGTCTTCCACTTAGGGCTGCCCCATTGAACTCCCCCCCTTTTTCCCACAGAGCAGGTCTTCCCCTCCGTGGCAATGTCTTCTGCACCAGGAACGGCTTCAGATGGATTCCTTGGAGGTCATCTAGTCCAACCTCCTGCTCAGGCCTACACCATTTATACCATCGAGCAGGAGACTCTATACCATTGGAATCTGAGCCCCAAAGAGGGAGGGACCCATTGGGTGCCAAAATGGGGCAGGACCCTCCAGTTGTGGAGGAGAGAAATGGCTGAAATGGCTGGGTGAATGTAGGGGAGTCTCGGGTGCCCCCCAATGGCTCCCCACAAATGCTCAGGGAGGACCGTGCCTGCTGCCATTCTGCTCCTCCAAAGGGGGCTTGAGGGGAAGCAGAGCAAGGGGGCCTCTGAGCAGAAAGGGGGGTCCTGCCCCTTCGCCTCCCTGGATCTGCCCACCCTCCTCCTGAACCAGTTCTGACTTCGGACCCAAAATAGCCTGGATGGTGGATCCAGAGGCAGCGGAGGGAGGAGCCTCCTGCAGGGGCAGCAAAAAGGAAGAGGAGGAAGAGGAAGGAAGGGAGGATTCCAGGGTTTTCTTACATCTAAAGTTTATTCTTTCATAGCAAAGCGAAGGGAAGGGAAGTGAGTGGGAGGAAGAACAATGTAGATGAAGCTGCTCTGGGTTCAAAGCCAGGAGAATTGAGGGGTCTGGAGTGATAGGTCCACCTAGCATCCCTGGGGACAGTCTAGATGGTCTCCACCCCTCCCTCACAAGGAAGAGAGGCCCTGAAAGGAAGCTGGGGTGTATGTGTGTCTCAGCAGGAGAAGGTCCAGGCTGCCATTCTCCCCCCCCCAAACTGCCACCTTCAGCCTCCATTTCTCACAGGTTGCAAACAGGACAAAGAGTCATCAGCTGTTAAAGAAAAAATATCCTTTTGCATCGGAGAGCAGGATTAATTCACGAGTGCTGTAGAAAAAGAGATGGGGAAGAAAATCAGAATATAAAGAGACCCTTTTACCGTAAATAATATATTCTTCTTCCCTTTCATCCCCCACCCCCAAGGCAGACCCACACTGCAGGGGGGTGGTTGACAGGCAGGGACACATAGAGAGAGAATCCGCCCATTTCAGGGAGGAAAAGGCTGGGATGCTTCATATGAAGAAAGAAGACGGGGCTACGATGGAGGTGGCAGCAAAGGGGGCAGCCTGGGCTCACTTGGCCAGAAATTGTGGGAATCCTCACAAGGAGAAGGGGGGTCAGGAAGAAGAGCCTGTCCAGGTTCCAACTAATGAACCCAAAGGAGTCTGTATGGGGTGCCAAGAAGGATCCTCTCGGACCGGAGGGTGGGGTGCAGTTCAGGGAGAAGTTTTGGAGGGAGTTCATTAAGTTGATAGGTTCATCTCAAGGGCTTAGCTCCACCTCCCACCCGAGGACGAACGGAGGTATAGAACGAGCGAACGCAATGATAGAACAATACCTGAGATGCTATGTTAATTATCAGCAATTTAGCTGGGCAGATTCCTGCCATTTGCTGAAGTGGCCTATAATACCGCAGTGCATAGTAACATGGGTGTCACCCAGGGGAGAAATGTAAAATTTGTTACTACCGGTTCTGTGGGCGTGGCTTGGGGGGGTAATGTGACTGGGTGGGCGTGGCCAACTTCTTTTTTTTTTAACTTTTGAAAGCATCGGCAGAAGAGGTTGCAGAAAAAAATGCTTTGAAAAGCCTCTGACGATCCCAGCTGAGCCGTGTGATCATCAGAGGCTTTTTCTTTTACTTTTAAAAGCATTTTTTTCAGCGGAAGATGTTGTAGAAAAAATGCTTTTAAAAGTAAAAGAAAAAGCCTCTGATGATCATGCGGCTCAGCTGGGCATGGGGGGGGGCAGGGCTTTTTGCTATTGGTTCTCCCAACCACCTGCCACCATCGCTACCGGATTGGGCGATCCGGTCTGAACCGGGAGCATTTCACCCCCGGTGTCACCCCTTTTAAAATAGCCACAAGATGGAATTTTCCTCATGCCTGAATACCCTCAGGAACCCCCCTCCACATTGAGCCTAACAGAATGGGTGGGTTGCTTACAAAATGCGTGGGGGAATTTAAACCTGGGCTGCTCCCTCCCCAAGGGGGTAATAGGAAGGAATGGCCCCCTCCTTCCCTTCCCTTCCCTTCCCTTCCCTTCCCTTCCCTTTGGCAATTTCCCAAAACATGGAAAAATTCTGGGCAAGATTTTAGCATTTTTGGGTGCTTTTGTTTTTGATTGCAATACTTTTTCACGTCTCTGTAAAGAAACGTTGCCCAAAATCCAAAAAACTGCTCTTTCCACAATAAAGATTTTGTTCAGGCAAGTTTTTAATTTTTAAAACAATTAAGGAATTTTAAAAGCCACCTAAAACTCTTAGGAGGGGTTGAGATGAGGGGGAAGAGGAGAAACTCACCTGCAGGAGGTTGGATGGGAATTGCTGGAAGGAGAAAAAGACCCAATCAGAAACCTTCATGGGCTGGAGGATTCAGGGGGACCCCTCCCCATTGATAGCCCATAATAGCTTGCATTATCTTCACTTATAGCCCCTCAAATAAGTGAAGCTGCCAAAAATATTCCCCAAGGGGCCCCTCTTGGCCACCTGCTAAGCTTGAGGAGAGGCCTCCCCTAGAGGGTCCCCTCCCCACAACCTCCCCTCCAGCCCCCCAGACTCACCTTTCTTGCTCTTCAGGTAGGAGAAGAGCCCCACAGCCAGGAAGGCCACTCCTATCACGGCCCCCATGATCCCCGTCCAGAGTTTGCTCCTGGCAGAGCTGGAGGAACGGGGCTCTGGGGAAGGAGAAGGAGCCTCACCTGAGCAGGAGGATCAGGCCCACCTTCCCCCAGGAGGGTCCATTATGGTTCCCCCCATGGGGTGGGTTTCTCCCCCTTCTCAGGGCAGGATGGGGTCCACAGACCAGGAGGGGAGGGAGGGGAGGGAGGGGCTTACCCCACTGGACGGTGATGGGGGCCTCCAGGCTGGCATGCCCCACCTTGCAAGTGTAGACGTCCCCCCATTGGGGCTGGGTCTCCAGCATCACCTGGAGCTGGTAGGTCCAGTCTCTGTTCTGGAGCTCCTCCCCAAAGGCCACGCCCTCCTCCTCCGGCCGCCCGTTCTTCAGCCACTGGACCTCGATCTCCACGGGGTAAAAGCCGGTCGCGGTGCAGAGGAGGATGGTGTTGGGGGAAGAGGGGTCCATCTTGGTGGGGGAGATGGAGACGGTGGGCTTGGCTGGAGGGAAGGAGGAGAAGGAGCCACATGAGAGACACAACAGGAAAGAAATAACGCAGAAGATGGATAGAACAGACGCAGCACGAGTCGGATGATTCTTGGGATCTCGTTGAAAATGAAACCAGATTTTTAATTAGGTCTAATACCACAACATTTGTTTGTTTGTTTGTTTGTTTATTTGCCAAAGTGACACAACTAACCCAAAGTCTTACAGACACTCTCCTAGCCGTGACTGCCACCTGCTCTCCGGGAGTCCAGGAGAATCTCCAGAATTGCCAACTGGGTCTCTGGGACAATGCAGCTCCACCCAGAAGGAAGTTGGCTAAAGTCCCCCATCTTGGGGCTCCCAACACCCAAAGCCCTTTGGCCTTTCCAGGGTTCAACCGAAGCCCCTAAATCCCCACTCAGCCCCTCTCCCCACAGCCTCCAGGACCCTCGAGGGGGCAGCCTCAGCATCTCCTGGGTCCCCAGAGGTGGAGATGAAACCTTATAACATCAGCAGACGGAGGAGACCTCCAGCCCTGGTGACGGATGGCCTCACCCAGCGGTTTCATGTGGAGGTTATAGAGGAGAGGAGAGAGGACGGAGCCAAATGCCTCTGAGCAGCCCTGAAGGTGATCAAGCAAGCTAGCAAAGAAAGAAAGAGAAAGAAAAAGAAAGAGAAAGAGGAAAGAGGAGAGGAGAGGAGAGGAGAGGAGAGGAGAGGAGAGGAGAGGAGAGGAGAGGAGAGAAGAGAAGAGAAGAGAAGAGAAGAGAAGAGAAGAGAAGAGAAGAGAAGAGAAGAGAAAAGCCGATATTTGTCCTAATTTTCTTTGGTGTTTCAATCACTTTTCAAAAAGTTTTATTTGGAGAGAGAAAATTTCTCCTTCCACTTTCCCTTTTCTCCCTTTAGGATCCACAAGATACACAAAAAATCAGAAGATTTCAGGGGGAAAAGTGCAAAATGTGATGTGGCTACAAAACCCCCAATTTTAGGCAGCCTCAACAGAAAGAGGCATTTTGAAGGAAAGGGCAAAGGAGCCCAATGGGGGAGGGGCAGCCCTTTGCTCCCCATAACTGCCAGAATCCCCTGAAGGAAAAGTTTCTCCCCCACTGAAGATGAGAGACCCTGAATCCCCTTTATATATCATCCAGAAACAAATTATATAGCTGGATATTATTATCTCCATGAAAATATCCTCTTTGCCTCATACTTCCTGCGTTTTCAAAACATTCCAGAAGAAAAAAATGAGGATTTAGAAGGGAAGATGGTGGAAATTATCGCAGGAATGACACAAAAAGAGCCAGAAGAAATAAAAGGACAATTGGAAGAAACTTACCGCACACAAACAAATTACATAAGAAAACACAGACTGGCAAGAGAAGTCCATGTCAAATTCTTTAAAAAATAAATCCGAGATGAAGCCAATAAGAAATCTAGAGAAGAAACAGTGATCTATAATGATAAAGAAATTATAATTCTAAAACAGATACCCCGAAGAGTAAGAATTCTACGACAACAGTATCAGTTTTTAACACAACTATTGATCAAATATAAGATAATGTACAGATGGTTGCCAATAGAGGGGATCTTAATTACGTGGGAAGACAAAAAATATAAAATAGACACTCTAGAAAAGGCAAGAGAATTCCATAACACACACTTTAGACTAGAAGAAGAACAGGAAAGCAAGGAGGAAACAGATAGTAGAAGTCAAGAAGAGGAACCAATAGAAACAAATCAAGAAAAAGAAATGAGACAGTGGCAAGAAAAAGAGAGAGAAGAGAGAGAAAGTGCAAAAGCTAAGGCACGGATGGAAACAAGAAACACAAAAAAACAGATACGATAGGCAATGGATGAACAGATTAAACTCTTTTCGGTAACTCTTTTCGCCCTCGTCACCTCTCGCTTTGACTACTGCAACGCTCTCTACATGGGGCTCCCCTTGAAGAGCACCTGGAGGCTCCAACTGGTCCAGAACGCAGCAGCGCGGGTAGTGATGGGAGCAACATATAACACCGCTCCTGCGCGAGCTGCACTGGCCCCCGGTGGTCTTCCGGGTGCGCTTCAAGGTGTTGGTCATCACCTTTAAAGCGCTCCATGGCATAGGGCCTAGCTATCTTCGAGACCGCCTGCTGCTACCGACAACCTCCCATCGACCTGTGCGCTCCCACAGAGAGGGCCTCCTCGGGGTGCCATCAATGTAGACTGGTGACCCCCAGGGGGAGGGCCTTCTCTGTGGGGGCACCTACCCTCTGGAATCAGTTACCCCCAGAGATAAGGAGAATCAAAGACCTCAGTGCCTTCCACCGTGCCCTTAAAACCCACTTTTTCCAGCAAGCCGGGCTGGCTTAGGAAGAAATTTTTAAATGTTTTAATTGGTTTGTGATTTTTAATTCTTGGACCAAATTTATATATATATTAATTTTTTAATATTTGTATTTCATGTTCTTAATTCTGGCTGTACACTGCCCTGAGTCCTCAGGGAGAAGGGCGGTATATAAATTGGAAATAAATAAATAAAATATTAATGGCTGAAACACCCCAAAGAAAAGGAACCAAATTTTCACAAAATTACGAAAACTAGAAGCAGATGTGATATGTCTGCAAGAAGTACACATTCAAAAAGATTATTAAAAAATCCTAGAAAACCCCAAATTAGGAAAACTATATTCATCTCTGGCCCAAAACAAGAAAAAAGGAGTAGTGATTTACGTAAAAGAAAAAATACAATCTAAATTAGTTTATACCGATGAGCACGGTAGAGTGGTGATGGTAGAACTAGAAATAGGAAAGAGGAAAATGTTAATTGTAGTGATTTATGCATCTAACCAAAAATTACAGGTTTTTTTTAAAGATCTACACATAAAATTAGCAGAATTAGAATATGATGATATTTGTGTAATAGGGGATTATAATGCAATAGTAAATGCAAATAAGGACTACAAAACTGGGGGGGGGAAACAAAAGAAAAAAGAAATACTTCCAAAAGAATTCTTTACTATGGCTGAAGAATTAAACTTGGCAGATGTATGGAGGGAAACACATGAAGAAGAGGCCCAATACATCTTTTACTCCCATCCGCATAACTCCTGGTCAAGAATGGACATGGCATGGATGACCCCAAATATCAAAATAGAAGTAGAAAAAATTGAGATAGGCACAAACCAATGGGCAGACCACAATCCACTATTCATAAACTGGAAAGGGGAAAGAAGATGTAAGAGATGGACGATGAACCAAAGATTATGTAAAGAAAAAGAATTTAATTCGATGTTAGAAAAGGAAGTAAAAATATTTTTTCAGATAAATAAAATAGAGGAAACCTCTTTACAAAACACACGGGATACTTTAAAAGCATATATAAGGGGTCTAGTAATAGCATATACGAGGAGAAAGAATAAAGAGAAGAAAAAACAATTGAATAAATTAGAGAAAGAACTAAAACAAATAGAACAAAAGCTCCAGGAAAAGCCCCAGAACAAAACAATAATAGAAGAATGGAAAATGATTAAGCATAAATTGAATTTGATAAACCAAATAGAACTAGCCCAAAAAATAAAAATGGCAAAACAAAACTATTTCAAACACGCAAATAAAATGGGCAGATGGCTAGCCTATAAACTGAAGAAAGAACAGGAAAAAAGAACAATATACTAATTGAAAGAGGATAAAGGAGAAATTCAACATAGTAAAGAGGCCAAAAAAGAAATCATTAAGAAATTTTATGCGAATTTATATAATCAGGGAAAAATAGAGGAAGACAAGATAAAACAGTATATAGGGAAATCAGGAATGCCAAAAATCACAGAAGAACAAAGAACAACTCTCAATAGGCCAATAACCAAATTAGAATTAGCTGAAGTACTGAAAAAGCAAAAAAACAACAAAACACTGGGTCCCGACGGGCTACCGGTAGAAATATATAAAACAATGCAAGAAGTATTGGGAGAGAATATGTTGCGATTATATAATGAAGCTATGGAGAAAGCCAAAATACCAAATTCATGGACAGAAGCCATAATAACAATCATTCCAAAAGAAGACACAGATCTCCAGTTAATACAAAACTATAGACCTATTTCATTATTGAATGCCGATTACAAAATATTTGCAGCAATCTTGGCCGAAAGGATTAAATCAGTATTAAATACATATATACATCCAGACCAAAATGGATTTCTGCCGGGACGCCAAATAAAGAACAACATGAGAATAGTACTTAATGCTCTAGAATATTATGAATCACACCCGGAAAAGCAGGCAGCGTTGGTTTTTCTTGACGCCCAAAAGGCTTTCGATAATCAAAATTGGAAATTTATGACTGGAAAACTACAAAATATGCAAATTGGGGAAAAATTTGGGAAAATTATAGCAGAACTCTATATCAAGCAATCGGCAAGGATAATTATGAATTATGACATAACAGACAAATTTAATATAACAAAAGGAGTCAGACAAGGCTGTCCACTTTCCCCCTTACTATATATTCTATCATTGGAAATCCTGTTGAAAAAAATTAGAGAAGACCAAGGAATTGAAGGTTTAAGGATCAATAGAGAAGAATACAAAGTTCAAGCCTTTGCTGATGACTTAGTGTTTTTGACAGAAAATTCTATGGAATCTATACCTAATTTGTTCCAAAAAATAGAAGAATTTGGAGAAGTGGCCGGACTAAAAATCAATAAAAGTAAATCGAAGCTAATTGTTAAAAACCTTACGGAAATCCAAACAAAAGATTTGATAGATAATATACAAATCCAAACAAAAAAAAAAAAAAATCTAGGAATTTGGTTATCTACAAGAATATCAGCAATTAAAGAAAACAATTATGACAAATTACTAGAACAAACAAAGAAAGACTTAGAAAAATGGGAAAATTTACACATTTCATTCCTAGGAAGAATTTCAGCCATCAAAATGACTATTCTACCTAAATTTTTATATTTGTTTCAGGTCACCCCAATTAAAATAGATAAACCGTTTTTTGAAAAGCTGAATAAAATAACATCTAAATTTA